AATATCCTTTTCTCCTTCCTCGTTTCACGTTTATTCCTTTTCCCCTAGTCTCTTTTTTAAGAAGTTCCCCCAAAGGTCAAAGTTCATGTCCCGGAAGTCAAAATGGCTCCCAGCTCAAAATCCGTGTCTGAAAACTTTAATCAACTAATTGCAACTTCAGTAACTGGTAGAGTTGAACCTTCCAATAATTTCACTTCTATAAAAAAAAAGTTATTGAGAATTAGATATACTGAATCACTGAAATTTTTAAATAGATGCATCACTGAAACACTGGACTGCGGAATCATTGAAATTTTAAGATGATGATTCATTAATATTTTGTAATATTGAATCACTAAATTTTCGAAACAAAAACTAACAATTTGAAAACAACAACTTGATTTGAATTTATTCGATTCGCTTACCTTTAAACTAATAATCAATTCAATTCATGGTGACTCATGGCGATTCAGATTCTATGATACGCATAACAACAAGGGTTACCACAGCAACCATTAGGGTCACTGACAATGCCTCAACGCTTCAGGCTGAAACGGTCGCGGTCATGGAAGCCCTGACACACGCGTCCCTAAGGGTTGGACACGTGGTCATTCACACAGGCTCCAGAGCAATAATTGACAGTCTACAGCATATCATGCCCCAAGACAACATCTACCTTCTGACATCTGTACTGGCCATAGCCCAAAGAATACTCGGTCAGGGTAGAAGAATTATCATAAACTGGGTCCCAAGCCACATTGGCATTCAAGGGAATGAGCTTGCTGGCAGATTAGCCGAAAAGGGCAGGGGTATAACCCCCCCCCCCATCCTCCATGATCGTTAAACGAAGCCGAAGGAGACTAAGCCAAAGTTCCAAAGCTACAGCGTGTGCAGTCCTCCGGGGAGCACAAAGAGAAAATGTCATAAATTCACTCGCTGCCAAGTGGTACTCAGATGCTTCAGGCTAGGAGCCACTGGCCCTTCCTCCAAACACAAAAAGAGGTACCGAAGTCATACTACACAGATTAAGACTAGGTTACGCATGCGCTTGGCAAAATATGGATGACGAGACTGTCAGATTATGAAAACACTGCGGCGAGCCTAACGCCACCCTGTTACATTACTTGCAGAATTGTGAACACACAATTTCTAAGACAGAGACCACCCACCACACCCGCCGGGCTGGTAAAAAGTGTATACCACATGCTTACTCGGTGGCAACTGGATCGCTTGCTTGCAATCCAGCCACTACGATAAGCATACAGTTGAAAGAAAACACATGAGTTAACTGGAAATAGTTGACACAGGCCGGGCCACCCCAGAGAAAAGGCCCGAACCAAGCATGTCTCCGCAAATCTAACTGAACTGATCCTGGTCCCGGAGATCAGAGGCATTCATCCGCAGTTGGACTACAAAAGGGCCAGTGAAGCTGCGTGGACAGTTCGTTCTCGCTCCGTAGGATGGCTGGCATCAGTGATTACATCAGAAAGGCATTCTCTCGTGGGTGACTAAGTACTAGAAACTGCTTGAAGAGTCGAAAGTGAAATGCTCCCCCGGTTTTCTTTTTCGTTCAAGTGCAAATCTTATCCAGTTTTTCGCCACCATCGAAAATGAGGCTTTGGATATGCTTTAGAAAATTAAGTTTTGCAGATTCGATCCATCAAGTTGTTATTCAGATCATAACGTCTACTGCAAATGTGAATTTTGGAAAGGTGCAACATTTTTTTTTACAGTACTTTCAATTTAGCTAGCTTTAGTATAAATATTTTACTGGGAAGTCATAAACTTTTTCCCTTCGGGTATTTA